GTTGCTAAAAGAATAGCTCAGGAGTTGGCGGTGGGTGGTGATGACTAGCTGCCTTCCCTCTAGTCTTTCACTCCTAAATTAGGGACAGCTAGCGCAGATAGCCCTCGTGTAGCTTTTCGCGAAATTCAAAAACAAACAAATAAACAATCAGTTTATACACAAGTATATTTTAGTTATACTTATATTTTATACAACTATTTCTTAGTTCCAGTACAAATTGTATAATTGTCATCGTATTTACCTGTTGCGTATTACTATCACATTGTACTCTGTGTATTACTTAAATATCTTTTCATTAAAATATCATTTGACTAATGCGCCTTTATTAAATATCTAATTTATTTTAATATCAAACTTTGTATGCCATATAAATATTTGAAAACACGTTATTAATTTTAGATTGATTAGTATCTAACCAACCGATTAGCGTAACCTAAAAAAAAAGTCAAACAACGTGAAATGGTCTTGAAAATGTTTGTTTGTTTATGTTATTGAGCGCAAAGCTAAACAATGGGATATCTGTGTTCTGCCCACCGCTGGTATCGATACCAGAATTTTAACGTTATAAGCCTTCAGACGTATAGTTGACCCACCAGTTAAAAGCTAATATGGCTATCTGCCCACTGATTTCTATATAGAGATCAATGCTATCTGCTGCTGTGCCGCGAAGTCTCATTCCTCGTCCAAATTCTTCCGGGAGATGAGATTTCGCAACTTTAAGCTGCGCAATTCTTTTCCCGTCTAAATACCATATCGTATCTTTTACTAAATGTCCGTTTTTGCTAACTTTATTCAGTTCTCTTTTTTATTTTAAACAAACAACTCTTATTTAATGTAATATCAATTGCCTACTTTCTGTAAAATTTATTAAATTTGTTATTTCAAAGCCTATCTGAACAAATGGTTTATACTAATACTAACACTTACAATAAACTAAAAGCATGCAATAGGTAACATTTTCGTTGATTAAAAACTTTTTCTTAATTTGATTATTTATTGAAAATAAAATGAAAGTATGTTTGTTGCTAATGAAGTACTAAGCTACACAATGGTCTATCCGTGCTCTGCCCACCACGGGTATCCAAACCCGGTTTGTAGCGTTGTAAGTCTGCAGACATATCTCTGTGCCACTATGGAGCTAAAAATGAAAGTATGAACTCGTTATATAATTTTATGTAATAGAATGTGTAGAAGGAAATTCTTATAAAAAATTATTGCTCTAAGACTTGTATCTTACATAAGAGTTTTTAGTTGTTTATACTATAGTAGTACTAGTACTGGGCCTAGTAGTGTGTATTGTCAGTATTAGTATTTCTAACAGAGAATTTATAGTTCAGAAATACATTAGTTTGTATTGTTTTGTTCTTCATATCTTATGACTTTTATCCCTTCGTGCCCATTTCTGTCATTAAGAAGCATTAACACTCAAAATTAAAAACTTGCCGAACCTAAGATTTCGATGTAAACGGTAAAGTTATATTTGCTTTTGGCTTTTCATACAATATTTTAACACTTTACCATTCTTGTGTTTACTTCATAAACTTGTGTCTTTGTACATTTGTTGCAATTCAAAAGTTACTACTCTTAACAAAAAAACCCAAATTTAAAATTGTGATTGCTTGAAAATTGTACTTTTTAAGTACATCGAATAAAGACTTGTGCATTGCCATGTTAGATATACATGTATATCAACAGGTGAGTCTGTCTTAATTATTTTTTGGCAAATTTAAGATACTTATACTAAGTTATAATAATAATATGGAAAGACTAAAACAAGGATTTGTAGACTGCATTCCACTAAACATTCAGACTGTTATTAATGTGTTGACATGATATTATTGTAAGCTGTATAATTTTTGGCTTTGTAATTTGTTTGTTAGGTAGAGGTAACTCTGACATGGATAAGATTGGAAGGTTTAAACAAGCTTAAACATTCTAGAAAACTCTTAACCTAAAGCTGCAACTTAAGGTTTCCACCATAGTTCGAAGTACATTTCAGATATGGAGTTGTTCTGAAGAAAGATTGATTTTCAAGATAGAGAGTAAATCCGTCAGGATATGAGCTATCACATTTACCCTGAACAAGTCGATTTTAGTTAATGTAATTTTTAATGTAGGCCTAAAGCTAATTTATAGTTTTACATGTCATCCAGTTTTAAGAAAAGTTGGACAAGGAAATAAACTTATTCATTATTCTTTACACGGACTGTACTTTGAATTATTTTTACCATAATTTACAACTTACACCAAAATAATTATGCTACAATACTATCAACATTTATATTAATTTGTCCAGGCATATATACCTGAAAGAGATTTCTTGGTGAGTTTTTGTTATTGGGAACAATATTTTCAACATAAATTATTTCAAGCTTTAAATGGACTGAATGAAAGTTTAACTGAACTTATAAGGAGAACTAAATTAATTTATAGTTTTATGATTTTTGAAAAGTTAAAAGTAATAACAAAACTGATGGGTTTTTGTTTTTGCTTTTTAGTAGACGAATCAACCTCCACTACTACAGAAAACAACTTATTATTTTTCAATAAGCCAACCACTATGATAGAAAATTAAAACTATCTTAACTGGAACTTGGTCTATCGTTTTAAACCTTAAACGTGTGTTCTCTCGTCATCGTATTTTAAATACATCACAAATTACTTGTAAACTTGAACAAGATCACCTCTTGTCAATCTTTTCTTAATATAAAATAAGTTAAAAGATCTCAACCTAACATAGCCATTCTATCCCTTTGACTTTTAATTAATGTCTATAAATACACCTATATTTCTTTAGTTTTACACTTATCAACAGAACACCTGATGGCTTAAGTAGCTTATCCACCACTTTGCGAAAATCATTTTCTTCATTCACGCTATCGAATGAGTTTTCATCTATGATATCGGTTCCAAACTGTTATAACCCAAATGTATCATCTTAAGCATAACTATAATTACAGGTCATTTGATTCAAGTCATTTCATAATACCTCAGTATCTTTAACACAGCTTGCAATAACCAAGAGCTTAATATCGCTACTAATCTACTAATTACACCCCCTTTCGCTACAATTAAGACAAATTTTGAAAACGAAAGCTCAAGCATTGATTTCTGAGGCGCTCCACTAGTTAAAAAAATCCAATTTGACTGGACTCCCTTAAATACAACCTTTCCTATTCTCTCATCCAATACCAAACAGTCCAATTACTAAGTTTTTACCCAATCCCTGCCAATGTGATTTTCTTAGCTAAATATTTTGTGTGGCATCTTATCAAAAGATTTTTAAAATTCTAAATAGAACAAATCCACACCTTTTCCATCATCTGGATAACAAGTAACATCCTCGAAAAACGTTAACACAATAGTAAGGTATAATTTCCTTGTAGCGAATACATGTTGATTTTTCTTTCATGATATATTTTATTAAATTATTTTACAAAGCTTCTTTTTCCAAATTTTAAATTCTAAATTTCCCCACTATATAAGTAAAAACATTTGCCTTTATTTCCAGTGCAACACTTATCATCCCCTTTAAAAAATAGGAGTAACATTAGCAATTCTTCAATTCTCAGGCATCTGTCCTCTATCTGTTGGCTAACCATAAATGAAATCGGGAGCTCTCATGTTCTGATCTTTAACCTTTAAAACCTTGTGGAAAACATTTTATGGCCTTGATGCTATATCTACTTTTAATCTCTCAGTTTTTCTACTTATCACCAAGGGATTAATATTTACATGATTAAGATCAATTCCAATAGAATGCCCATGGTCACAATTATTGTTAATATTTTTTCTTTTTTTTTATAATAAAAGAGAAGAAAAATTTGAAAGATCAGACATCTATTTTAACCTTTTTAACCGAATCCCCATTTTTCCTACAGTTATCTAAATACCCCATCCTAACTGTAATCTTAATATTTTTAAACTAATGTCATTTATATCAGACATTCCCACGTATGCCTATGGTCATCCGATTAGATTTGGTCTTACATGTTACCCTTTTTACTATTTTTACGAACATGTATATCTTGAATTAAAAGTAATGTTTTTTGATTTTTTTAAATGTGTTCCACATCACCTTTTAACTCATTATGGCAATTTATTATTTGTTTGTTTAAATTTATGCACAAAGTTACACAATGGGCTATCTGTGCTCTGCCCAGCCCGGGTATCGAAACCCGGTTTTTAGCGTTGTACGTCCGCAGGCATACCGCTGTGCCACTGGGGGGCGGCAATTTATAAATGAAAATATTTTTTTTCAAAATTGTCTTTCTGAAAACAATAAATTAATTTACTGGTTGGATGTGTAATATTTCTCATTCCAAAATACTAGAAAAATATTAACACCGTCTACATTTAACATGAATAATGCTACTAAAACCTCTAAAGCTGCTTACTCTTAACATGAACAAATGTTACAACAACACTTTTAAGGTCTGTTAGCTTAAAGTGAGTACGAGAACAACCGTACACGAGGTATACCCGTGGGTAGCTCGAACTCTCAGCCAACTTACAGTGAAAGTAAAAATATAAAGAAAATACGGTAGAAAATGACGGTTTCTGCTGGATACTTACTGAAACAAAACTGCGAAAACAGCGGAATACTAAGGGGAACTGAAAACAATGTAATAGCTGTTTGATTTAATTGATATGCTGAAAATCTGTGTTATTTTGCCCTTTAGAGCCCCAACACTGTCTTAAACATGTCAATAAACCCTGAAGTTTCTAAAACAAGAAAACAATGATTGGTGCTTGCTAGCTCATCTGGCCAACGGCAGTGAAAATCGACGGAGATTCTATTAGAACTATTATTTGAACCGCCGACAAGAATAACTCGGCTCACTAGTTTACCTCAGGTGTTTCTTCTAACTTGTCTCGTGCGTTTGATTCCATCAGATGAATATAAGAAATGCACTTGAAATATTGTTGCACATCTTATAATAATAACGAATCCAATAATATTAATATTACTTATAATAATATAAGTAACAGTAGATTACAAGGTTGCCTCAGTTGTTTCTTCTAGCTTGGCTTGAGTTTCTGATATCTCCACTTTATAAGGCTGGGGTCATTTTATAACTTTAGGTTTCTTCACATTGTTTTCGTTATAGATATTACTTCTTTTTTTAACATATGTAATACATACCTAAACTGTTCGTTCAATCTCACTGGCTTTAGCTGTTGTTTGTCAAACCCTAGATTAGCCAATGATTGAATATATTTCGTGTGTAGCAGCTGCTACTGCCCACTTATTCGGAAAAGGCTTGTTTTCAACTTTTTTTTTATCCAAACAAAGCTACGTCACACAGCTGGTGAGATCCATGTTATGACGCACGTGATTTATTTGTAACCTAAAGCTAAGCCTTGTGTTTAAAGTTACAAAGTA